ATGTCTTTGTGAAGGACTTTCTATGGGAAACTGGCTCGTATCTACACTAGAAGAGCCTGTAGTCCATTTTTGAAGTCATTTTTAAGCCTTAAATTGATATTAGCTTTCTATGAAAATACCTTGGCAGCTTCACAAAGGCTCATTCATATTAAAATTTGAGTGTATTTCACAGGATAAGAATTTGTTATTTAAATTTAGTGTGGGTGCAATATATTTTTCATAACTATTCAGAACAAACTTATATACACATTAAAATTCCTGAACATGCAAAAACTATAAAAAAAATCTTCTAGTAGATCTTTTGTTTAAACATGATAGTTTTTCATTCAAAGATTATGTAAATAATTTATATTTAAACCAGATTGCTTTCAAATATACAATAAAATAATACAAGTTGTCACATTTATTACAATATGTTCGTAATTTGAAATTCATTAATTATTCATTTGAATAATACATAGAGAAATAAATATTAATTTTTTTCTAATACAATTATGAAATTAAAGCACAAACCATTAATTATTAGATGAAATGTGTTGCAAATATTAACAGAATTAATTTAGAGCTGAAATCTCATATATTTCTCAGTGATTTAAAATAAACACAAGAGTATATTGGAAAGCTACAAATGCTAAAATGTTAATATTTGGTATGTATTTAGTTATCATCTGTAGTATTTTCAGAAAAATCTTCTCTACTTCTGAAACTCATATTGCACAAGCACGTTCAGTTTATGCTCAGAAATTTACTGAGCGTAAAGGCCCGTTTCCACTGCTGCGTATACGTTGCGGTGCGTATGCGTTTCTCCAATCAGCGAGCGAATTCACTTTGATTGACATCTGCAATCCGGTCGGTGTGCGGTGACGGATAACATACGGATGGAGTTCAACAATGTTCAACTTCTATCCGTATGTCTGCGGATGCGTTGGGGTCACGTGGTAAAAAAGGAGCAATTAGGTGCAGTCACTAAAAATTAATGGCGGCAGAAGTAGCGATGAACGCTCGCTAATAGGGAAAGAACGTTTTGCTAAAAAATACTTATTTCTGAATTAACATTATAGCGAGAAATCTGCGTGCTGAAAAAGATAGCAATCAGCTGAATTTAGTTAAAAAAGATAAGAAAAACAAGATAAATGCAACTACAGTACTTGTTCGTTCAAGAAAATCAGCGGCAAAAATTATAATTCCAAGTCCATGAAATAGCAAAATTGGTTCTGATAATCATTTCCTAGTTCTGCATACTCATTTAGCTTTAATGAAAATGAATGTCTGACTATATCAAACTGCTATAGCAAATTAGATATGATTAAAAGATTTGCTATTTTTTTTCTTTTGAAGGCATGTAAAAACTAAAAACGTTAATTATAAATTAAATTTGATAGCCTTTTAAATACTCCAGTTCATTGAAGAGTATGTTAAATTTGTATTTCCCTTTATAAATATATCTTTTTGGCTAACATATATTTATAAGCACATGAAATATACTTTTAGCAGCCCGTTTAACTTCAATCGGAACGCCAGATTTTTGTAAAAAATGTACTAGAAGCTGAAGAACAAACTCTGGTGAATTTTTCAGACGATAGCACAGTGAAATAGGACCAAAAACTTAAGTTTTAAGAATTGATTTACTTGATGATGTATGTAAGCCAAAATATGCATGCGACTCACGTGCAATCCTAGCTTAGTGGTAAATCTGACGGTAACGATGTTCAGTTTTTGGAGTCGTGAGTTCGAATCCCATACGCTTTTTGCACCCTGTCTGCAACTTTCTTACCTTTTTATTCCAATTTGATCTATATTCGTGTTTTATAATTTATTTCTATTATTATATGCATTAAATATATTGTTTTATTTATGCTCTTATTTATTTAAATTTTTCCCGCAAAAAAGTTTTAAAATTATATAATACTAATTTAAAGCATATCCGGTACATATATATTTGAATTTAAAAAACATTCTCTATTCGTAAAAAGCAAATTTAAAGTTAATTAAATTTAAATGAAATTTAATGCAAACAAAGAAATGATTAATTATTGCTGCGAACTAATCTACAATATCATTTAAATTCTGAGAGCATATGTAAATCAAGTGCAAGTATCAAAATCCATGAATAAATATATAATTCCAAAAATTTATTAATCCTAAAAAATTTATAAAAATGCATAAGTGAATAATGAGATAGATTATTAATCCTAAAAAAATTATAAAAATGCATAAGTGAATAATAGGATAGATTATTAATCCTTAAAAAAATTATAAAAATGCATAAATGAATAATAGGATAGATTTAATCCTAAAAATTTTATAAAAATGCATGAGTGAATAATAGGATAAATAAATTTTTGGAATTATATGTTTATTCATGGATTTTGATACTTGCACTTGATTTACAAATGCTCTCGGAATTTAAATGATATTGTATATTATATCGCAGCAATAATTAATCCTTTATTTGTTTGCATTAAATTTCATTTAAATTTAATTAACTTTTAACGAATAGAAAATGTTTGTTAAATTCAAATTTCATTCCTTGCAGCAATGGCGCAAGAGAATTAATTTATTTTGAAACCCTGCAGATATATATGTATATTTTCGTTTCACGTTTATGTGAATGTAATACATGTGCTCAGACTTTGGGATGTTTACGACTCTAAACTTTCATTCCAATCAGCATGAGACAGTATTAATGCCCTAAACATTTTTAACAAAAAATTTACTATAATAATTGCTTTTAAATTCAGTCCTCTCCAGCAGAAGCGCAGGAATCAATTAATTAAATATTTCCATTTTCTTTACCTAATGTGTGTATATATAAAGAGAAAAATCTTATTTTTATAACTTCTTTTATAAAAAGAGATATGAATTAAAATGTTTAAATTAAAAATAATATTTTATGGATTATGCATAAAATATAACTGCCCATAGTGCATTTTAAAACAAACGAGATTTCTAATAAATTATCCAGCTATGACCCTGAAGTCAGCGGTATACAAGCATAGCAAATTTTGCGTAAATATTGTGAACCTTTCTTTACAGTTGCTCTGTACTTTTAAAGTACCAACTATTTTTTAATCCCTTTAACTTTTTTATTTTATTTATTTATTTGTTTACTTTTTCACTAACAGTACATTTTAGTTTTAATAATATATATATTATTTCATAATATTTAAGGCTTCTAGCACAAAATTTTTTTAAAATTTACTTCAGCTTCTGTGGAATTAGTGATGTTCATAATATGCATTATAACCTTACTTATCTAAAAATTGCTAGCGTACTTTACTTTCGCAGTTCATAAGCAGAAATAAAAATTTCTAATAACATGGAATTTAGTAAACAAAACTTTTCTGCGTTTTACGTCAGGATCCATATCAAATCCAAAACAAACAATACTCCCTTAAGCGGGAAAATTCAGATGTTCAGCGTCGTAACTCGCGAACTGCTTGTTTGGCGCCAAAATATTACAGTGACACCTAGCGGCGGAAAATGAAAATATTTTACGGATACGCAGCAGTGGAAACGCTTGTACGTAGTCGTGTCTTCAATTCACGCAACGCGTTCGTACGCAGTAGTGGAAACGAGCCTTGAGGGGCATATCCTTTTATGTGACATCATCTGACACGTTGTTCGATGTCACGTGACCTCCCTGCGCGTTTGGGGATTTAGCGCTGACCTTCCTTCGAACCTTACTTTGATTTTTCGCCCATCGGGGCAGAAAGCTGCAACGCAAAACATCTGTGTGTCTGTTTATCATTCGAATAGAAACCGCATCATTCGTAAGGCGAGGAACGAATGGAATTTGTGAGTACCGAATCGGTACTTCGAGTCAAGCGATGTACCCGTTACTCGGTTATGAACACGTGCGATTTGCTCCTCAAGCTCTAGAAACCTGCTTCACCAGAGAGAGAACAACGCTAATACGTGAAGTGTGACAGACAGCATAAAAAATACATATTAAAAGAAAAATAAAGAATTGCTACGAGTCGCGCGTTGCGCTAAAAAAATCTCGTATCGTTCTTTAAAGGCTGTGAAAATGTCCTCAGAAGTTCAAAAATGAAAACGCACAAAATTCCAAAAATCGATAAAACTCCTTCCTATAACAAAAGGATTTTCCATTGCCTTCTAGGAAGGAAGAATGATGATATTCGAGTCAAGACAACCTGAGGAAAACCAGAACGAAAGGGTAATGACCTGAAATTTTTTGTTTGGCTGAAAACTCAACCATCGAAACCCAGAGAATTTCTGCAAGAATTTAAAATCACACATTATGTTTCACATAACACACCTAACATTTATGGAGAAAATAGAAGTAGGCATGAATGTGCCACAATATTTTGCCTCTTTGGGTTTTGATTTATACAGATCTGAACAATCAAATTTACTCTCTCATCATGAACTCATTATAGTGTAAGAGTTTATCTTAGCTATTTTCGCTTCTTCAATATTTATGCAAAATATAACACTCACTTTTCATGATGTATTCCGAAAAATCTTCGTGTGTATATATTTGCACACTAAGTATGTGTCATGTATAATATGAATTGTTATTATTTTTTTTAATTCTGTATATCTGGGCAAGATAATTAAAGTTAGTGTGAAGGACTTAAATGTGTGCAAAACAAGTTGTCAGCTCCTTTATCTCAGGAAGCCATTTCATTTCTCGGGGACACATTAAAAGTCATGCAAAGAAATAAATTTTTTTAAATAACTCTTGCCTATCCACCCAACAGAAGATTATAATGTATGCGGGCTAGGCCAATTAGACAAAAAGTTGAATTAAATGAGCATATCCTTATTAACATAACATAGAAACGTTATGTGTCTGACATATGTAAGACTATGTTTACACAAAATACTAAGTTAAACCAGCATAGGTTATTCACACAGCAGAGAAACCTTATGTATGTGAGGTATGTAATAAGTCATTTAGACTAAACTGTCATTTAAGTAAGCTTGTACATATTCACACTGGAGAGAAAGCTAATGTGTGCAAGGTATGTAGTATGTCATGTAGGCAGAAGTTCGAGTTGAAAAATGATATGCTTATTCACACAGGAGAGAAACTTCATACCTGTGAGGTATGTAATAAGTCATTCAGAAGAAAGAGTGTTTTAAGTAAGCACATGCTTATTCATACTGGAGAGAAACCTCATGTGTGTGAGGTATGTAACAAATCATTTAGACAGAAGAGTCATGTAAAACGCCATATGCTTATTCACAGAGGACAGAAATCTCATATGTGTAAGGTATGCAAGAAGATGTTTACACTAAAGGCCAAGTTAAATGAGCATATGGTTATTCACACAGCAGAGAAACCTTATGTGTGTGAGATATGTAATAAGTCATTTAGACTAAATTGGCATTTAAACAAGCATGTAAGTATTCACACAGGAGAAAAACCTCATGTGTGTGAGGTATGTAATCAGTCATTTAGACAGAAGTTTGACTTAAAACACCATATGCTTATTCACACAGGAAGGAAACTTTATGCCTGTGAGGTATGCAATAAGTCATTTAGAGAAAAGTTTGTTTTAAATAAGCACATGCTTATTCATACTGGAGGGAAACCTCATGTGTGTGAGGTATGTAACAAATCATTTAGACAGAAGATTCATTTAAAATGTCATATGCATATTCACACAGGAGAGAAACCTTACCTGTGTGAGATATGTAACAAGTCATTTGGAGTAAAGGGTAAATTAAAGATGCATCTACTTATTCACACAGGAGAGAAACCTCATGTGTGTGAGGTATGTAACATTTCATTTGCTCAAAAGTGTGGGCTAAATTACCATATGCTTATTCATGCAGGAAAGAAGCCTCATGTGTGTGATATATGTAGTAAGTCATTTAGGCAGAAGTCTCTCTTGAAAAAGCATATGCTTATTCATACAGGAGGGAAACTTCATGCATATAATGTATTTAATAAGTGATTTAGAGAAAAGGCTAAATTAAATGTGCATATGTATATTCACTCTGGAGAGAAAGCTCATGTGTGTGAGGTGTGTAACACATCACCCTACCTGTGTGAGGTGTGTGACAAGTCACTGACTAAGGGCATATTTAAAAAGCCATATAATTATTCACAAAGGAAAGAAACCTGTTATGTCTTAGTCATTTAGATTGAGGTGTGATCTAAACAAACATATATTTATTCACACAGGAGACAATTCATTTAGGCAGAAGAGTTCTTCAAACAATCCTATGCCTATTCACAAGAAACTGCACGAGTTAGAAATGTAATAAATGACTTATTATTGAGGAAATGAAAGACATATATCTACAAATAATAGAAGCTTATTGTCTTTTGTGGAAAAGTTACATTAATAAGAATCTTTTCTTATCAGTGTATCAAGGGCTTTTTCATGACAACAAAAAAATTTCATTTTATGAGGGGTGTGTAACTTGTCATTTCATCTGAATGTTTTATAAATCACTTATTTGTTTCCACAGAAGAAAAGACATATTATTATAAGATAAGTCGTAAATAATTGCTGACTTAAAACAGTATTTGAATATCTTTGGTATGAATTCCCGTAATTAACTAGCAATATTCATTTATATACCTTTATGGATACCTATAAAATAATAAGGGTGCACTTTTAGAAACTATTTATTTATAATCATAGAATGTATTACAGAGAACTGTAATACCAGCATAGATCGAATTTTATATATCTATCCAAAGTGTTTCCAATTCCAAGTTACTAAATATTAAATATTGCCATTTACAAATTATTAAATATTACATCTTCCCTCTTTTTTTAAAGAGTTTAACATTTTTTTTTTTTTTTTTTTAAGAGTTCAGTAAGAGTTGTTAACAGTGTTCAATAAGATAATTGAAGAGATAGACAATATTACTGTATTGCTTGCAATTTGCAATAACATAAGTTCTGCTTTTTATATTGAGGTTCCAGCTGATGTTTACTTTCTGCCCAACCTCTCAGAATATATTTCGTAAAGCACTGTAGTATAGCATTACATTCACTTTCTTTCTTCAGTTCATAAATTTTGTCATTAGGTGCTGGAATCAGTGTACAAATTTCTATATCTTCATCATTATCTTTTTCTGTTGTATTCAAATATGCTGTACTTAAAGTGTCTGCTATTAATAAATCTTTCTTGTTTTTGAGTCGTACATCTAGATTATATTTTTGTAAATTTAGCAGCATTCTTTGCAATTGCTGTGGTGCTTTAAAAAGAGGTTTCTTAGTTATGCTTTCCAATGCTCAGTGATCAGTTTCAACTGTAATACGGTTGCCATATATATATTGATGAAATTTAGAACATCCAAAAGTAATATCTAAAAGTTCTTTTTCTATCTGAGTATAATTTTTCTAACTTTTCTTTAGAGCTCTGGAAGCATAAGCAGTTGATTGATTTTCTTGCAGTAAAACAACATCTAATCCGTCAGAACTTGCATGTACTGAAAGTTACATCCTTATTAACATCATAGAATTTTAATGTTGGGTGCTTTTATAACCAATTTTTTGTTTCAAAAGCTTTTTGATGTTTTTTAGTTCAGTGTTAAAAAACATTTTTCTCAAGTAACTGTTTTAATAATGCACTAGTAGTAGTTAAGTTAGGAATCATTCCTAAGAATCGTTGTAGAGAAAGCACATATGTAGGTTCTGGCAATTAACAATTGCTTCCTGCTTTAGAAAAATCAGGTATTGATCCATTTTCACATAACTCATGCCCTATATAATTAAAGCGATTAACTTTCATTTTACATTTAGCCTTATTGAACTTCAAAGTTATTTTCTCGTGCTCTCTGGTTTACTTTTCTAAGTTGTAGGTCATGTTCCTTTTCATTAGATCCCCATATTAAGATATCATCTATTATGCATTCAATGCTTTCTAGACGTTCTATTATTTGGTTTAATTTTCTTTTTCAAATTTCTGGAGCTGAACATATGCCAAATGGTGATCTTTTAAATTTGTACCTGCCAAAAGATGTATTGAATGTACACAAATTACTACTTTCTTTGTCAAGCTGGATTTGCCAAAAAGCACTATTAGTATCTAAAACAGAAAATATTTTTGCATTAGGCAAACTTATGACAGCTTCGTCTTTGGTTAACATAAGATAATGTTCTCGTTTTATCACTTTATTAAAATCTCTTGGATATAAACATATTCTTGTTTTGTTAGGTTAGACAAATGTGACCATTGAATTTACCCATTTAGTTGGTTCTCTTACTTTCTCAATAGCATTTAAATTTTCTATTCTTTGTAGTTCTTTCTTCACTTTATCTCATAAAGCTATGAGTATTTTTCTTGGAGGAGGATGTACTGGTGTTGCATCTTGTTTTAACTGGATTTTATATTCTCCATGTAAACAACCTAAGCCTTCAAGCACATCTTTATATTCCTCCAATAAGTCATTAGTACAAACAGACATTACTTTTTGAATCAAACTTAGTCACAGACATGATTTTAATCCTAATATAGAGGGTACTTCTTTGTCAATAACTTGGAATTCTACAGTAGTGATTCTTAAACTGTGGGTCGTGACTCCCCTGGGGGTCGCGGGACCTGCAGCAGAGGGTCGTCAAAAAATTTAGCAGTTTTTATATTTCTTTATCTTCTTATAATAATTTTACAATTACCAAACATTTTTACACAATGTATCTGAAAATAGATAAAGGTAAGGCAATAAAGACAAAGAAATATGGAAAATGTTTTGACGCATTCTTTTTATAATATAAACATTCATTTTACTTGCTTTGCACATGATGTTGTCATTTCATCTGATACTTATTTAAAATTTTCACATTGTTCTATGTTTTAAAATTAAAGTTAATGACCTAAAACTGCAATAACATATTACAGTACAAGTGAAAAATTGACAGTTTCACAAACGAGTGCATCAGATTTACGCAGTGCTTATGGGGTCCTGGGGGTCGCGATGAAAAAAGTTTAAGAAACCCTGTTCTACAATATAATTATTTTTTCCATATTGGTAGTTAAGTACTACTTTTCCTATAGTGCCCATTTTATTCCCGGAGAATGTAACTAATCCTTTAATTTCAGACTTCTTTATCAGAACATTTAACAATGTCAGTTTGCTTTTAGAAATAATATTGCACATTGCTCCTGTATCTAACTGCAAATTTTAGTTTACTTTTATTACAATAATGTCAACAGTCCATGTCTCTTCTTTGTTATCTAAATTAAGGTTTAATGCACCTACATAAAATTCTAACTTTTCCTCAGTCATTTATTAATTTAATTTGTTTCTCTTTTTTGTTTACCTTGACTGCTTTATTTTTTATTTTACACTGATTTGCCTTTTTAAACTTATGGCAGATTTTTCCATATGCTGGGCACTTTCGATACTCATGAGAGGTTCCACATTTAGAACAAACTTTTGTCTCTTATTTCTCGGCATTTAACTCGTTGTACATATTCTTATTATGTTTGCTTAGTTTCTTTTTCACTAAGTTTATAACAGTTTTCTCATCTTTTATTATTTTCGTTTCATGTGCACTTGTTTCTGCAGATCTGCATATATCAAGAGCTTTTTCTAATGTTAATTCTGTTTCATTTAACAATCTTGCTGTCACTACAGCATCTTTAATATCACAAATAAGTATATCAAGTATTAGAGTATCCATTAATTATGGAAACTCCCATGTTCTAGCTTTATTTCGAAGGTCAGTTACGTATTCATCTATGGTTTCTGCTGCGGTTTGATTTCTAGTAAAGAATAAATGTCTTCCATTTGTAGTATGTTTCTTAGTATTACAAGATTCTGTAAATTTTCACTTAATTTAATTTCTTTACCTTCTTCTTTGGAAATGTATTATATATTTCAAAACCGGGAATTCCTTCTGGCTACTTCATATACAGTCAAAAGTCTTTAATACGGAATAATCTATAATCCGGACCTCAAAGCTACAAACTTTCTGCGCGCAGCTAAAGCGTTGTAGCGTCGTAAGACCTTTACGAATGCACAAGTGTTTTACGCATGCGCGTTTAATGCATAACGGACGGTATAAGCTAAGCTAAAATTATCTCTTTCAGTTAATGTTGATGATTGCGTTGTTCCTTAATCTTCGAATTGGATCCGGCTTATTATTTTTTGCAGACTGTAAGAGCAATTTTATAAAATGTAAGCTTGAACTTTCGATTATGTCAAAAAAAATTTCCTAATGCTGGAGCTCCCAAAGGATCTACGAAAGTGAAAGTATGTTTCGATGTCCATCAAACAAAAAGTGGAATTGCTCCAAAAAATGGATAAAGGTATCCTTTGTTTCTCTAACCGTTCGGAAATCTGTTTATCAATTTCACGCTGCTTCTGCGCGGGGGGGGGGGGGGGGAACGTGGCGGCGCGCAATGAACTGGAAGTTGATATGTCACACTATCGTTATCTTCAGGGCAGATGTTTTTATTTATTCGGCTTATAATTCCTTATAAATGTAGTATTTCATCTCAATGTACTCCGTCTTTGATATGATTTAAATCAAATTCCTCGTCATTATAAATATCACGAATACAACATTAAATAGTTTCCTGGTTGCAATTTTCTAATTTCGGCTATGCGTAATGTATACGCATTGAAAGAAATGTTTAATAA